ATATATATATATATATATATATATATATATATATATATATATATATATATTTATTTATTTATTTATTTATTTATTTATATTTTAATTTCTACTGGCAAATTATTGTGTGAACGATGGTCTACGTAATTGTAGGGATCATGAATATCAAATACATTTTTAATATATTAAAAATACATTATTTTTATATTGAAAGTACCTTACATACATATATAATGTAGCCTTAGTAATTTAAAAGATACTTTTTATTTCATGCAACCCCAAAGTTCATAAGTTTGAAATTAATATATGGCATAGCTAGGCGGCCTAATATTTAACATTGTTGATGTGCATATTGAGGACTACGGAGACAAAGATGTGTTATTCGTGGATTCATCGGATACTATCCAACAACACTCTCCAACTTAATTGACATGAAGTAGTCTTAGTAACATTAAGATTATATTCTCGAATTATTAGTTCTCATCTTTTATTGATTACACACTTAATTCGATAGTATTTGGAAGAAAAAATCAATGTTCGAACTAAGATTGTGATTTTGGTCTTTAAAGGTCAATTGTACGTTGCTACATCTAGAGTTAGAAATCTCAAAGGTCTAAAAATTTTGATCCGTGACTCTAAAATTGTAATTCAATTACTATTGTAGTTTACTAAGTTCTTAAAAATTTGTAATATTAAATACTATGTACTAAATTTTAAATATAGTTTAAGATTTGTAGTAATCATCCACCTTAAATATTATTTAAATTGTAAATATATTTATGTTCATAATTTTATCATAGGAACTCACACATAATAATTATTAAATAACAAAAATTTTATATATGATAAAACCTCATATAGGATATATTTTTATAACATATTTTCCGTGCATCGCACGGGACAAATACTAGTAATAATAATAATAATAATAATAATAATAATAATAATAATAATAATAATAATAATAATAATAATAATAATAGTTTTAAAAAATAAAAAAAAATAAAAAAATATAATTAAGCCAATCATATTAACTACTAGGGGGATTTATTTACAAAAAGAGTATTCAAATTACACAACAAATTGAAGTGGAAAACTACCTCGCAATGTCCTTGTTTGACAATCAACAATTAGCTCTTCAATATTAGTATATATTTAAAATTTTATGCCCTAATTTTTATTTGCTCTCCCTTATGTCCCGTATTTGGTTTCAACCATACCTATACAATTATTTTATTGACAATTATAATCAATCTTGACTATATTATCTTGCATTTGTAAACTTATAATTACCTATTTAAATACGCAAATTCAACATTCAATTATTTATGCATGAACAATTCTAATATAATATTGCCTTGATATACTTTAAAGTACTTATTAAAAAAAAACATTGGGCATTATCCCAATCATGCAATGCGCGTAAAAAACTAGTATACTAATAAGAGCCCAAGAGAGTTAGGCCTATAATGGGTCATATTGATTGAAAGATTGATCAGATTTAAATTTTACACTAAAATTTCCTAATATACCCACACACCGTTACTAATTCCGTTAAAATTTTAAGAATTGCCGTTAGTTCACCGTTAACTTACTCATTGATTTCAATAGAAAAAGGTCTTAGGTTCGAATCTCATCCCAATCAAAGTTGGCATAATTAGTACTCTATTTTACTCTTATTAAATTATATAAATAATAATTTTGTAGTTACAACAAAAAATAATACATATGCATTTCTATAATTTATAATTATGTGTCCACAATGCCTTTATTAAAAAAAAAAAATTATTCATTATCAATAAATTAACTAAGAGAAATAATTTTATTAGTTATATTGTCTTTATTTTTCTTCAATATAAAAATTTTTTATATTCAAATTTATTAATTGATTATATTCACTACATTATCCTTACAATGTCTTTATTCAGTGAAAAAACAATTATTAATTATCAATAAGTTAATTAAAAGAAATATTTTCATTAGTTATATTGTCTTTATTTTTCTCAAATGTAAAAATTTTTACATTCAAATTCATCAATTGATTATATTCACTACATTATCTATTATCTTTTTTGTGCACTATTTTTCTAATTAAATATCAAAGTTATAATACAAAATAATGCTATATATTTATTTACCAAGTATTTTATTAATACCATGAAAAAATTAAAAAAATATAATTAATAAAGCCAACCATATTAACTACTTGAGAGATTTTGTGACAAAGAGAGTATTTATATCACACAACAAATTGAAGTGAGAACTACCTCGCAATGTCCTTGTTTGACAATTAGCAGTTAGCGGTTAGCGTTAGCGGATTATACTAGCGGATTTGACCAGCGAATTTATTTAATTATTAACATTGGGTAGAAAAAATGACCGCCAAATTATTAAATCAAATGAATGGTTCATATTGTTCAGGTTTTAATTTTTTTCTTTTAAGATTTTCTAATTTATCTTTAATTATATGATTATACATTTAATTTTTCCGTTAATTCACCGTTAGTCTAATTCTAATATTAAAGTCTAATATAGAATTATAACTACACCCATTAATCTAATTCTAATATTAAAGTCTTAATAGAACATAACCACAAATCCTAATGTCGGAATCTCCTCAAACAATATTAGTATATATTTAATATTTTATGCCCTAATTTTTATTTGTTCTCCCTTATGTCCCGTATTTGGTTTCAACCATACCTATACAATTATTTTATTGACAATTATAATCAATCTTGACTATATTATCTTGCATTTGTAAACTTAGAATTACCTATTTAACCCGCACCGGCTTAGCTCAATGGTTTAGTGGGTAGTATTTGGGAGAAGAGACCAAGGTTTGAACATCGGCGGCGGCAGTGCGGGAATTATGTCCAAAGTGGGCAGATTCCTTGTGCGTATCAGCATTTACAACCTCCCACAATGCTCTGTCGGGTCGGAGTGTGGGGGGCCCTTGGGGTTGGAGATTCAACCTTTGGGAGAAGAATTACCTATTTAAATACGCAAATTCAACCTTCAATTATCTATGCATGAACAATTTCAATATAATCCTGCCTTAATATACTTTAAAGTACTTATTTAAAAAAAAGCATTGGGCATTATCCCAATCGCGCAATGCGTGTAAAAAACTAGTATATATATATATATATATATATATATATATATATATGAAAAATTCTCATATTTCATTTTTCCGTCCAAACTTTTTTACCCAATTAATTAAATATTTTATTTGTCAAATAATTAATAAATCTTATTTGGTAAGTAAATGTATAAAGGAAATTAACTAAAACCTATTAATTAGTAATATTGCATAATTATGGTATTTCTATTGAGTACCTATATTTATTTATATTGTGTAATGAGTAATATGGTATTCTGGCAATCCTTATATGGTTACCCCATTTTAGTCTCCAACAAATATTCACTGTAATGTTATTACCTTAATAATAATAATAATAATAATAATAATAATAATAATAATAATAATAATAATAATAACCTATATATATAAGAAAAATTCTCCTACTTCATTTTTTCGCGCAAACATTTTTACCCAATTAATAAATATTTTATTTGTCAAATAATTAATAAATCTTATTTAGTAAGAAAATGTATAATGAAAATTAATTAAAACCTATTAATTAGTAATATTGCATAATACGGTATTTCTATTGAATACCTATATTTATTTATATTGACTATTGAGTAATGAGTAATATGGTATTCTGACAATCCTCATATGGTTACCCCATTTTAGTCTCCAACAAATATTCACCGTGATGTTATTTATTCTCTTAATAATAATAATAATAATAATAATAATAACAATAATAATAATAACAATAACAATAACAATAACAATAACAATAATGTTTTCATTACTTTACTTTCTATCTAACCCATTTTATTACTATTGGACACACATATTATTTACAATTAATATTTAAGATGTATATAATAATAATAATAATAATAATAATAATAATAATAATAATAATAATAATAATAATAATAATAATGATGATGATGATGTTAATAATAACTAGTATTTGCACCGGTGCGATGTACGGAATGTATTCTTTATAATATATGAATTATAATTTGCTTCATATTCGATAGTGTACATTTTAACGTTGAATTAAGGTTTGTATGAATGTTTCAGAATTGAATTAATTAGTCTCATTATCTTTATGTGTAGTAATTTAGCTATAGAAATTTTTGTAACGAAATATATACGTAATATGTAGATATGTAACAATTTTGTTATATTGGTGCAAGAAGAATATATAATATAACTGTTTTGAATTACACATTGTTGAAAACCTCTTTGTAGACGACATTAGTAATAGTAACAGAAGTTTGTCCAACCTCGTCTAGAGCTAAAACCTTAAGGCCATCATGATGAGTGACTCGAGAAAAAGCCACGTACAATTGACCATGATTAAAGACTGATTTTTTAATAATAAGCCAACGTGAGTTATTTTTTGACCCTGGGTTTTGTTGATAGTCACTGCATATGCGAGCATCAACGGGAATTGCTTACGTTGGAACATAAATGACAATCTCGTATCAGAAGTCCAGAAGTGGTGAGAAACATTCGTGGTATAAGAACTTTGGTTTCTTGCTGTGTTCCAATTAACTATTCTTACTTCGACAATATGATCCGCCAATCTTGTAACGATGAGGCGCATACCATTGCAAAGACATAGAGAGTGGTCTATGTTCCGCAGTAATTGTTAGTAATGTTATTATTCTTTGCTATTATTGTATGGTTACATTTAATAATTGTATTACTAGGTCAGTCTTCTGTGGCTAGCCTAATAGTTAGGAGTTCTTTACGCTAGCTGATTATCATTATATTGTAATCTCTATTCTGATTGGTAATTGAATGTGGTAACAACTTCTCTCATTTGGTATCAGATTGACTAGGTTAGAATCTCTCTCTTCATCACACCCAAACTCTATCGCCGCTCTCCTCCTAGCCGTCGAACACCCAACCCTTCCCTTTGGCCAGAATGTCTACGAACTCATCGGAACAGACGGTTACAGCCACCGCTGTCACTCCTCCGACCACCGCCCCAAACACCTTGTCTTCAGCTCACCATTTCGTCTCTATAAAGCTGACGTCTCGCAACTTTCTCTTCTGGCGAACGCAGCTCATTCCATTCCTCCGAGGACAAGGGATCCTCAGCTATGTAGACGGTGAGACACCGTGCCCTCCGGCGATCATCGAAGCTGTTCCCGCCTCCGGCGATTTGGTCTCCGCCGCAACATCCACCGTTCCTGCGGCCAATCCGGCGTACAAGGCTTGGATACAGCAGGACCAATCCATTCTATCCCTTCTCATGTCCTCCCTTTCAGATGAGGTGATGCATTTGGCCGTTGGCCGGAATACATCACGGGAGGTGTGGCAATCTATCACGGCGGCTCTCGGAAGCTCCACCCGTGCCCGGTGCCTGAGTCTTCTTGGCCAGTTCCACTCTCTTCCCCCACAAAGACAGTAACGTCTCCAACTCGACCAGAGCAAATTGTTGTTTATCGTATTCCGATAACAACAAATCTTCATAGTTTAGAAACGAAAGAAAACATAATCAAATAATGGGTTATTGTATAAATCATGAAAAGCAAATAATATGTTCAATAAATAGATTGCATGTTGATGTACCTGGATTGTGCATGAGTCGTTGACGATGAAATTGTGCATCGTCCACAAGAAATTTCCAAACGGCATTCCACACCACCTCGGGTCTAGTGATTGAACTTGAAGTGAGCAACGTAGCAAACAACCTTCGCAATGCAAATGCGGATGCCCAGTAACTGGATTCAGTAATATCGTCGATGTACTCCTTGTCAGCATTTAATAATCCATATTCATAACACACATTCCTAAATGATTTGTGAATGACCCCCAACAGTGCAAATATCCTCATGGCTTGAAGGCCCACGTATGATATTTAAAAGGCATCTTAGATAGTATAATTCTCCACACCCTGGAGGAACATAGAACAATCGTCCTATGGAGAATCCTTTTCTTCCTTGGATGAAACGCAACGTCTTCTGATGAATTCTAATGTAGATCAAACGTGCATGTTCGATCATTGTATATGCATCAACCAAGTATTGTTGAAATAACCTCCTAGAATATAACAATGTATGCTTCTCATTTACCTTCTCATGTATATAGAATGAGAAATACTCTTTATGGCTAATTCTTGTCCTATCACCATGATGTCCTTGGCGCCATGCCTTAGAAAATGTAATATCTTCACGATAATCATCTTCGCCATATGGGAACAACAAAGGGTACTGTAGGGGCAAATATGCAGGGTTCAAATGATTTATTCTCTTCAACTGTCCAGTCTGGCTCTCGATTATGTCTAGATCACCCATCGACGGGTCAAGGTCCCCGACAATAAGTGCAGCCACCTCATTAGCGGTAGGTAAATTGTATGTCCTTCCATCTTTATTCCAGTTGCCGATTAAATTCATTTTAACCTCAACAACTGGATTAGACTGAATTTTAGTTCTTGTCATTCTGAAACATTTTACCAAAACATTATTTCCGTCCAGCATGTTCTTTAATTCCTCAACAATATTTTCGTGGATATCCCCTGAGTTAACATCTCTTCTGCATAGGAAACCAACGGATGTAAATAAACAATAGATGTCATTGGTGGTGTAAGCGAAACGAAAAGTATAACGTTTTTGGATACTTACGTAACAGAATTGATGCGATTATTAATCTCATCATCTGTGTCGTAAATATATAATTGTGCAAACTTTGACATTGAACCTTCTCCTGGAACCAAGTTTCCAATCCAATGATAATTTTGACCACTTATCCTAAAAATCGGAGGACCGTTACCGGTTTTGATTGACCTATCGACTCTACTTTCCAGAGACGTGAAACAGAACATGTTGTTATATCTTCGAATATTGTTGAGGAAGTGTCTGCTCTGTTCATTATCGTCAAAGTATAGGCTCTGGAGAACAAGAGGAGGATCCTTCATGCGAGGTAATTGTATCTTGCCCTCGTAGCAACACTTTGTGTATTTCGACAATCCTCGTGTGACATTTTGATTTGAGCGCTCATGTCGCCAGAATAAGGCACCACAATAATCACAGGAATGAGCAGCATCTCCAAGGTCCAAATAGGAATCTAATTACATAAATAGTTAATAATTAACGAAGATGAACATAAAAGAGTTGTGAAATCATAAAAATGAAAATTACTAAGATTTGTGATTTTATAAAAAATTACCATATCTGTTGTTTTCACATACGAAATGTTTGAAATCTGTATTTAAATTTCTTGCATTTGTTCTTGACGATAATGTACTAGAAGTTCTCAGAACTGACCGCAAAGCACAATTAGATTGAGGATGTGCTGGTCTTTGCACTGGATAAAACATAATAAATTGTTATTTATTGTTGTAATAATGTTAAAAAGTTGTGGCAACAGAATAACACTAACAAAGATGGAACAAATCGTGAACAGTGTAATAAAAATTACCGTTTGATACATAAACTAATGGTTGGCGTGATAAAGACGTTGAAGTTGACATATTTGACATATTAAAAGAACGTAGAGTGGATGGTGGAGACATGTTGCGCATATGAACTGCAAATTTTTTATCAAAACATATTTAACATAAAATTAATAGTATATGTATATTATGTTTTAATTCAAACATATATAACCTAAAATTGAACATATACGACAGACAAAGAAGTAGACAGATATTTAATAGAGGAAAATGTTACCATCTGTTGAGACAGTGAGGGATGTAGTCTATCGAATATCACTGTTCAATGCGTATAAATTTGGGTTGGTAGTAACTGCAAAAGGAGTTAACGCGTAAAAAATCAAACATGATTAATTAAATAAAATGATATTAAAAAATTGTTTAGTATTAGGGGATAAAATGATATTTTGAATATAACATATACCATTTGTAATTAGTCTATATTCATAAGTAATTAGTCTATATTACAAAGAATAAAAATTAATTTTTGATTGTAAACATATTAGGTATGATTATTTAATTTACCGTGTACATATAGTATATTCTTTCCATAAGATATTAAAATATAATTTTAATTATATATTAAAATATAATTTTTGTTAGATATTAAAATATGGTAATTTCTTTCCATACTGTCATATGCAATTCCTTCGTAATATGATTTCCATAATAATATTTTCATAAGTATTTAGTCTATATTCATAAGTAATTAGTCTATATTACACGGAATAAAAATTAATTTTTGGTTGTATATATATTATGCTAATAAATAATACCATATACGGAATACACGGTAATTCAAAAAAGGTAAACATTATAACCTAGTTCATTAATTTGTCCATATGCATATATTCTGTGTAATGTTAATTATTTTTGATTATATATAGATTCTTTACAATTATACGGATTACACGTTAATAATTCCCTAATATTACCATAATATGCTTTTCATAATTAATTAGTATATATTTATAATATTCTGTGAAATATTATTTAAAATAATTATATCTAATATGTATGGTAATACGTAATATGTATGGTAATATGTAAATAAAATTATTTAATACCATATGTAATTAATGTACACGGTTTTAGAAAAACTAATTAGAAAAAAACGCTCCGTTTCTCTCGCTGATTCCTGATCGTGCTCCGATCGTGTTTCCGATTGTGTCCGCCGACCGTGCATGCTTCGATCGGATTCGTGGCCCCTCTCTTAGCACCATCTGAGATAGTGTCTCCCTAGGCTTCTAGGGTTATATAAGTGTTGCGATGTTGTTTTCCGTGAAAGTGTGTTTTGTGTTAATTATCGGTAGTCTCTGCTTCTCGCATTCTGCAATGGATATTCGACAAATAGAAGAACGATGCGCCATAATGTCATTGGCTGAGGAAGAAACTGGAGGGCTGGAAGAGCCCGTGATCCAAGCGAATCCCGACTCGACGATCCTTCACAACCTTGTGGGGCGATTTCTGACCGATCGGGCAATCAAATTCGATTACATGCAGCAGGTTATGGCCTCTGTCTGGCGGCTGGTTATGGGCATGCACGTGGTGCCTCTGACGGACGAGCTGTTCCTGTTCCAATTCCCACACCAGAGAGACCTCCAACGGGTTGTCGACGAAGGTCCGTGGACATTTGAGAACAACATGCTAATCTGTGAGGTAGTTCCGCCGGGCTCCAGACCGGAGGAGATCAAACTGGAGGCCATCAGCTTTTGGATCCAAGTTCATGGGCTACCGGCTGTATATGCCTCCACTGCGTTCCTAACGCAAATTGGGAATTACATTGGAACCTTCATCACCACAGATCCGCTCAATTTTGGGGGAGCATGGCGTAGTTTTATGCGCATCAGAGTGCGATTGGATGTAGCGGCACCTCTGAAGAGAAGGATGAAGATTCTGCGAAAAGATGGGACAGTGCAATGGATAAATTTCAGGTATGAAAGACTCAGTACATTTTGCTTTTGCTGTGGTGTCCTCGGCCACTCAGACAAATTCTGTAGAAGAGTGTATGAAGAGGGTATAGAGCTGGACGAATTTCCGTTCGGAACATGGATGCGCGCTAGTAGTCGTCGCCAAGTGAAGCCCGTAGGTGCCAAATGGCTTCTTGGCTCCTCTACGCAACCCATTGTGCCGTCTAACATTCCCGCTGCTGGGCCATCCCCTCTTAATGTGATGGCCATGTAAGATAATGGTGGACTCCAGGGAGATCTCAAACGTCGCCGGGAGGAGACAGAGTCGGTTTCAAGCATGCAGGAGGAAGATGTGTTGATGGGTGATAATGTCAAAAATTTGATGACGGCGAGTCTGGTGGACCAGGCTCGCCAAGCCCAATGAGCATCTTAAGCTGGAACTGCCGGGGTTTGGGCGGCACCCGGTCAGTTCATGAACTCTTGGGCGTAGTGTCCAAGCAGCGTCCCTATTTCGTTTTCTTGATGGAAACGAAAGCGACCGAGAACAAAGTAGAACAGGTACGAATAAAATTAGGCTTTGAAGGTGTGTTGAGAGTGGATCGTGTGGGGCGGGGAGGCGGGCTGGCTTTATTCTGGAGGGATGCTGACACAGTGAATTTACTGGGATATTCCACTAATCATATAGACGTGGAGATCTCCATCCCAGGACGTCCGAAATGGAGGCTTACCGGATTTTATGGGCATCTGGACAGAACAAACCGCCAAGTCACTTGGGATCTTCTCCGTCAGCTCAGAGATAACTCAAATTTGCCTTGGATTGTTGTAGTGGACTTCAACGATATAGGGAGCCTTTCGGAAAAGAGGGGTGCACACTCGCATCCAGGATCACTTATTGAAGGCTTCAATGACACCTTAAGCGATTGTTTACTGAATGATTTAGGGATGGTGGGTGGAAAGTTTACATGGGAACACGGGCATGGTACTGCAGAATGGGTAGAAGAACGGTTGGACAGGGCGGTGGCCACGGTAGAATGGACAAAAATATATGATGAGGTAGTGGTCCGAAATATTGACATGCAATCTTCAGATCACAGTGCACTCCTCGTGAACTTGGACCCACAACCGATTCGAGCGGCTATGCGTTCATTCCGGTTTGAATCCGCATGGTTAATGGAGGAGGGATGTGCGAAGGTGGTGGATGAGGCCTGGCGACAATCCATGGGGCAAAGCTTCCAACACCGTATAGAGGTGTGTGGGCAACGGTTGGGGAAATGGGGAAGGGATCACTTTCGTTATTTTGGCAACCGTATTACAAAGCTCAGACATAAGCTTGCTGGGTTAAGAGAGGACCGCGGGGAACAGGCAATAATTGAGTTTTTGAACACCAAACGAGAACTGGAGGAACTTCTAAATCAGGAGGAGCTATTTTGGAGACAATGGTCCAAACAACTGTGGTTGAAACATGGCGATGCAAATACAAAATTTTTCCATAAGGCGGCCACATCCCGACGAGCTCGAAATAATTTACAGCGGCTAAAGGACCAGGATGGGCATTGGCGGGAGGGGGAAGCCATGTGCACAGAAATCTTGAGGTATTTTGAAACTATCTTTCACTCCGGTAATAATGCGTCTGACCTATTTCATCGGGTCCAGAAACGTGTAACTGATGAGATGAATATCTCTCTCCTGAAACCGTTCACGATGACGGAAGTAAAAGCATCTTTATTTTCTATGGCCCCGGAGAAAGCTCCCGGGCCTGATGGCATGTCTCCGGCTTTTTATCAGCATTTTTGGCCGACCCTTGGACATGACCTGACGGTTTTCATCATAAGTTGTGCGACTCATAGAAGTTTACCGTCGGACCTAAATATATCCAATATTGTGTTGATCCCTAAGAAAAAAATTCCCATGATGGTTTCCAACTTGAGGCCAATTGCACTTTGTAACGTCGTTTATAAAGTGTTGGCCAAGATGGTAGCTAACAGGTTCAAGGAGACCCTTGAACAAGTCGTGTCACAAACTCAAAGTGCGTTTGTCCCTGAAAGGCTCCTAAAAGACAATGTTATTATTGCTGGAGAAATTGGTCATTTCCTAAGAAGGAAAACTTCTGGGAATATGGGATGGACGGCCCTCAAACTGGACATGGCGAAAGCCTATGACAGAATGGAGTGGAATTTTCTCGAGGGGATGCTTGTGGCATTGGGTTACGCCCGTGAATGGGTCGACATGATAATGGTGTGTGTTACAACTGTTAGCTACGCCATTATGGTCAATGGTATGGAGGCGGGCAAGGTAGTCCCTACGAGGGGCATACGCCAAGGGGATCCATTATCCCCGTACCTTTTTATCTTGTGTGCCGAAGGGCTTTCTATTTTGCTACAACAGGCGGAGGCTCGAGGTGACATACATGGGGTGAGAATAGCCCGGGGTGCCCCGGCTATTACTCACCTTCTCTTTGCTGATGACAGTCTGTTCTTTTTCAGGGCATGTCAAAATGAAGCCACAAAAATTAAAGAATGCCTTGATTTGTACTGTGGGGCATCAGGCCAACTCATTAATTATGAGAAATCAAATGCCATCTTCAGTCTGAATACCACTACGGCGACGAAGGAATTAATTGCCGATTGCATTGGGGTCCGAATAGCAAGCGATCTCGGTCGATATCTTGGCGTCCCATCAGTTCTTGGCCGAAACAAGATTGCTATTCTCAGATATATAGAGGAAAAAATTCAGGACCGCATCGGCATGTGGCAGCATAAACTCCTTTCTAGAGCGGGTAAGGAAGTCCTTCTCAAAAGTGTAGCTCAATCCCTCCCTATTTTTAATATGTCTACTTTTCTTCTACCACTACGCACTTGTGATTCAATTGAAAAATGTTTCAATCGCTATTGGTGGGGTGGTGGTGGTACGAGAAATAGAGGGATTTACTGGCTTAGTTGGACACGTATGTGTAAGCCAAAATTGGAGGGAGGTTTGGGGTTTAAAAGTCTACATGAATTCAACGTTGCCTTACTAGCGAAACAGGGATGGCGACTTTTAATCCAACCGGATTCCTTGGTTAGCCGGTTACTCAAAGCAAAATATTACCCGACAAACAGTTTTATGGAGGCAACAATGGGAAATAACCCGAGTTTCTTATGGCGAAGCATAGTGGCAGGACATGAGGTTCTCAAACTGGGGGTAGCACGTCGTATTGGGAATGGCCTGGACTCGAAAATATAGGGGTGGAATTGGCTTGTCGACAACACTTGTTCGCGGTTAATTACCCCGTTTATAGAGGAGTTACGAGATGCCCGAGTGATTGGCTTAATGACGGCGCACAGGGCGTGGGATACACATGTTATACGTGACTTGTTCGTGGAGGAGGATGTCCGTAAAATTCTTGCGACCCCTGTAAATAATCAATTCAAGGACTCATGGAGATGGCTTGGGGATATGCGCGGGATGTACACTGTCAAACATGGGTATCAATTACTCACAGGCGGTGGGGTACATGCGCCACAGGCTGGCGAGTTCTATGCCTGGAAGCAGTTATGGTCGTTACCGGTGCCACCGAGAGTAAAACACCTTCTTTGGCGTTGTGCTCGTGATATCCTTCCTGTTCGTGAGAATTTGAAATTAAAACACGTTTGGCTAGGGGGTGGTTGCCCTTTCTGTGCTTTCCCTTATGAAACCGTAAATCATTTATTCGGTCATTGTTGGTATGCCAAAGAATTATGGCATCAGGATGATATTTTACAGGGACGGTCCATGCAAAGTTTTATGAGTGATATTTTGTGTATGTCAGACAAGACAAAAGCAATTGAATTGGCAGCTATTATAGATGTTATATGGGCCACACGAAATGATGTTGTCTGGCAACATAAGACACCTTCTATTATGGGCATGCATAATCGTATTCCCACCGTGCAGATGAACTGGGCGCATATTTATCGCAAATATCCAAGGGGATCGACACTGGCCGGTACCCACACTGACTGGAAGCCACCAGATAGCGGCAAGCTGAAATGTAATGTCGACGCAGCTCTGTTCACGCATGGAGCGGGGTTCGGGGCGGTGGTTCGTGATCATACGGACAGGTTTGTGGCAGCGCGAGGAGGACGCATCGAGTGCAGTCAAGACCCGCTCATGGCCGAGGCTATTGCGGTTAAGGAAGCGCTGACTTGGCTAAAGACTATGAATTTCCTAAATATTGTTGTTGAAACTGATTGTCTTAATTTCTGTAATGCTTTTAATTCTCGCATGTCTGATTTGTCGTATATTGGCACTATTGTTACGCAATGTCGTGTAATTGCTAGTGATGTCGGCGGCGTTAGTGTCTGCCATGCTAAGAGATCAGCGAATCAAGTGGCTCACGTGTTAGCCCGGGCGACTGATTCTATGACTGTCTCTGTTGAGTGGGTTGATAACCCACCTGATTGTATTTCCGACCTTCTTCGTTATTAATGGATTTCGTTGCTTTTGTTCAAAAATGTATACAGTTTTACAATATGAGAGTATGGAAAGAATATGGAAAAAAATATACCATATTTTAATATCTAATTAAAAATATATTTTAATATACACGGGTTCATACGCAGATTTTAGGTGTGGATCAATTATTTATGCCTTCTATAAAGAATTTGTACAAATGTTACGATTATTTAATGGTGTAGCATATATATATATATATATATATATATATATATATATATATATATATATATATATATATATATATTACCATTTTTAAAATTGATTTTATTCAATTGAGTAATTAGTTTGAATTACACGGATTAAAAATTAATTTTTGGTTATAAATATATTTGCTAATAAATAATACCATATTCACATAATACCATATACCGAATACACGGTAATTAAAAAAAAAAAATCAACATCATAACCTAATTCATTAATTTGTCCATATGCATTATTCTGTGTAATGTTAATTATTATTTGATTATATATAGATTCCTTACAATTATATGGATTACACGTTGTTAATTCCCTAATATTACCATAATATGCTTTCCATAATTGATTTGTATGGATTTGAAATTTGAAGAACGTAAGTTGGAATTGAATTTTTAAATTGGGTTACATGTCATCTTTTATTGAATGGATTTCTCATTTTCCAGTTCTTGTGTGTGATATGTATTTATTGTATTTTTTCTTTGTTTGGGTGAAATGAATGAGTTAATGAAATGAAAATTTTAACAAATTTGTAAAGATCTAATTTTTAGTTCAAATTAGTGAATAATGACTAAGTTTCTTAAATGTAATTAAAAAGTT